TTCTGTATAAACTTTATGCAGTATGGCATGACGTTGAGAGATAACTATAAGAATGCGATGCAGGAGAAGTGGATGTGAACTTACACAATAGCGAGCATGCGCAAAACAATTTACTTATCGTAATTAGTTGTAACTTGTTTATCAGTTGATTATGTAATAGAAAACGGCGGTATCGCGGGGTTATAACTTTTGATATCGGTTCGAGATGTTTTCATGTAATTTCACTGCTGTTTTTTATTTATTATTATAAATATTATTTACATGCTCTTCAAATTTTAAATTACTATCAACAAGTACAATGACAATGACAAATGACAACTTTATTTCTTATTCGATCCCTTTCGGGGTATGAGAGAACATTATTTCTCATGTGAACATATAAAATAATCGGTCAGCTTACACTGTATGACTAATCAAGTTAACAATAACAATAATAAGGCTAAGTAAAAACAATATTATAGCCAAACAAACACGATATCTTGTGAATAAATTGAGGCATGTCATGGCAAAATGATTAAGTTGTCACACAGGCCAGTATTGAGTAAATGAGCTATAAAATATGGGAGCTCAAAAAATTGCCTAAAAATCCAAATTTGTTTTTCACTATAGATCAACAGTTTAATGTCTTATTAATCATATACCAAAGTATTAGTTCTGGAAGTGGTCAACAAGTTGTTTATTTAACGTTATTTTGATAGTCCATTCTATTAAACAATGTAGGCACAACTAACTTTGAAAGACAATTACTTAAAATCATGTTTATCTTGATTCTAAGAGTACTGTACTTTCACTTTCCAACAACTTAGGCTTAAAATGTCCAATTTTAATGAATGACCCCTCATTTTAAAGATCACATACTCAGGTATCTGAAAATACCAATAACTTGAATTTAAATTTTGCTACAACTTAGCCATTTTGCCACAACATGCCTCAATTGAGCAAGTTTCGACAGCTGTTTTTCGATCTGGTATTAAATAATTGGTGCATTTTATTTTGATTAGGTCTATTGTAATAGTTTTTATATATTCTTCACGCTCCTTAGTTAGTGTAGGACAAACGAATAATGGAATTCATCTCAGGTACCATTTCGATTACACAAAGTACAATTAGTAGCTTGATCATCAAAATATCTTCTATAAATTTGGAGCTTATGGTTACCACATCTAAACCTACAAAGATCAGTTTTTTTCTTTATCTGATTATGTTATTAATGATTGTTCAAGTACCAGATCACACTTAAAGGATCAATGATTTTCTCACATTCTATTTGTGTTAAGTTCGTGCAGCCATTCCTGTTTTGAGTTATCACTCAATCGGAGATTAATACTATTTGCTATCAACTTTCTATTGAAATTATCATAGTCATTCCACATGGGGCATGCCACATTTGTTAAGAGTGTTTTTATTTTATTAGTCCATTTTGACAGGTATAAACCCTGGTCGTGTAATTTTTTTAACAATCTGAACATAATGTTTGACAGTTTACTTTTTGTACTATCAATGACACGCACCTAGAAAGTTAACATTCTTTTCTCTACTATTAATTCGATATTTCCCCTGCCCACTTTACCCAGAAACATGCAATTAGCAGTGAACATTATAAGTTTGAGGATATGCTTTAGAAATTTTCTAAAAAAAACCCCGATTTGATCTTGTTTTTGGAATCTCCAGACTTGGCAACCATATACTTATATAGACAAAACAAGCTGGTCAAACTGAATGTCTAACGGTAGACTTAATTGTTTAGCTTTAGTTAATATGTTGTGCATTGCTCTTTTTGCCTGTATTACTTGCTTATCAATGGGTTTGTTAAATTTTCCATTAAAATTAAATGTTGTGTCTAAATAGACATAATCTTCTACAATTTCAAATTGTTCATCTCCAAACATAAAAGAATTGGAGTGTTTCGAACCCTACCTCTGGAAAAATTATAATTTTTGTTTTACTCGTATTGACTGTGAGCTTCCACATATCGCAGTAATCATACTTAATACTTTCTGGAGTTCTGAGTGACTTTCGGACATAATAATTGTATCATTTGCATACATCATCATCACTTAAAACATTATTAAATTCATTAGCTAAGTGATCCAAACTTTTATAATAACGACTAACAAAAAAAAAATTCGAAGTCGTTAAGATAAATTGCAAATAAAAGCGGAGATAAATTTTTCATTGGTGCACTCCAACATTACATGGGAAAAATTTGGATATCACACCAATCTGTTTGATACATGACTTCGTGTTAGCAGACAATTTATAAAAGACATTAATGACTTTACCATTTATAACACATAATATTAGTTTACTCTATAGAGATCGGTCAACCAGGTCAAACACTAAGCTGTAATCGATAACAGTGCAATACAACCGCTTATGTTTCTTTAAGTATAATTCAAGTGTGGAACGGAATACAAACATATTATCATTAGTGGATTAACCGTCCCTAAATCTCTTGCTCTTCACCAAGTATACCAACACCAACATTATATTCTATTGTTTACACAATGGACATTTCCGGAGTGTCAATCAAGGTTATCAACTGACCAATTAGGGCCAGGGATACGAATGTGCCTAATACAAATACGGCGTTTTTCAATAAACGCACGTGTTTGCGTGTTTTTACGTTGTCGTTTTGTGGAACCTTAGCCACAATATTTAAGTGCCGGTGCTAAGCATTCTAATCTGTGACATGTTATGTTTTGCAAAATAATAATATTTTCACATTAATATTAAAACAAAATCACATTTTCAATTTTACAAAATCTTCAATTAATTCTACATTAAAATACATCAATTCACACCGTTAATATGTTGAATAAAATACATTGCTAAAAATGAAATTATCTATTTATCGCTTTAATGTATATATAAATCTCATTATGTAAAAAAAAGGTATAAATAAATATAACAGGGCATAGGTATTTACTTTATATTTCCCACACAATTAGCAAGAAAATCTCAAATTACAGTGCTAATAAATTAGTTACACCATCGCCAAGTAGTGAGAGAGGAAGAGCACAGTGAACAATAGAACTGATTATACAGTTTCCAGCACAAAATCTGCTTATAAAACTGTGTATAGATTTTATCCAGTCTTCATAGGATGAAGGGATGTTATTAAATAAATTCACAGGCTCCAACATTAAATAAATTTTAGTAGTTCTTTTTATTGACCCAAAGGTACTTATGACTAAGTACTGCTGATAGAGCCTCACTAAATTAATTTAGATAGGCATAGAGGAACCGTTTACGCAATATTATGTCCTAAATAACAAACATTAATCTCTGCGGAACACATGGAAATGTCCTACATAAAGCGTTAGCTCTGACACAGAAAGCCCTATACTTTTGCTTAATACCAAAATCATCCAGTAAATTAATAATAATAATAAACATTTATATAAAGCGCCAATTCAAAAATTTATCAATAAACACGAACCACTTTATGGGTTCCAATAAAAATAATGAACGAATTTGTACTAACATTACTACACACATTATTTTCAATTGGGCTTAATCGATTTTGAAGAATGATGATTGTTGCAACAAATACAAAGCACGCATAATCTAATAAATTTAATAAACATTTCTGGAATGATCCAACTTAGCGACTGAACAATCAGGACAGGGCAAGTATGCGTACATCCATGAACACACGTACGTTTAAATCCTTCAAATCCTAGCAAAAATACAAGGTGGGGCATAGTGGAAAGGCGCATTTTAATCAAACTGAAAGGCAACAAAATGGTCATTGTTAGTGCAGGTATAAATGTGGCATTCCCCATCGTATTCAAAATACTTGCATTCTAGCGCCCTCATACACTCTACAGCGCATCTAATGCAACTAATAATAATTCGATGGCCAACAAGCTAACCACTACCCACCACTAATTGCATCTGCTATTTTGCTGTTATGTACGGTATTATATTCACGCATTCTTGTTATGAGCCATGTTCTCTGGACGATAAGGATATTTCTCTTGGACAGATGAGAGCTCCGATCCCTGGAGAGACAGTATATTTCCAACTTTAATCTTTTTACATATTTGTCTATGTCTAGTCCTACTCCTCTTTTTCTTTTTTCGACCTTAAGCCCATTCTCATCTGAGTTTTCAAGGAAAATACAATGATCCTGCCATCCTGCTAATCTCAATCATAATTCGATGGCCAACAAGCTAACCACTACCCACCACTAATTGCATCTGCTATTTTGCTGTTATGTACGGTATTATATTCACGCATTCTTGTTATGAGCCATGTTCTCTGGACGATTATCTTTTCTAAACACCATTCGTAATGTCCTTATATAATCATTTTTTCATTCAAAAAGTGCCTCTTGAATTATTGATTATTAAAATAATTTCCCCCAAAAAAATATGTTAAGCACCTGGGCGCTTATTCACGCGAGTACGGTATGTTAACATTTGAATAATACTTTAGCATTTTTTATAATTAATTAGTGTTCATAATCAATATTCAACATCGTTTACCGTAACTTATAATCACAATATAATACCATAGTTGTCATTATCATCGCCATTAAGGCCTGTTTATACTTGCAACGATAACGATAAAATGCTGAAACGCAATTGTTTATATAGAAAATAAAAGAAATGAGAGAAGTTTTTACACTAGGACGATTCGATAACGATATATCGTGTATACTTGAACAAAAAAATTTGACAAATCAGTTGAAATGACGCCATAATGAAGGAAAAACGATAAAACCGTAGTAGTAACCATGAGTATGACATCATTTGAATTGATTTGTTAAAATTTGTTGTTATTGTATACACGATAATTCGTATAGAATCGTCCAAGGTTAAAAATTCTCTTATTTCTTTTATTTTCTATAATATGAACAATGCAATACGTTTTATCTTGTTATCGTTATCGCTGCAAATATAAACAGGCATTAATTATCATCATCATTGTCGATAACATTATCACTACTCAATTTGTGATTTAAATCTAATTGGTATATTATTTTAATTTACCTGCTGAGCATCCAAGGACCTCAAATCGTAAACTTATATGGCCATGCCAGTCAACTGGATGAATACGGACGAATTGGGTATAGACAGGGTCAGTAAATATGTTTGTCACGGTAGTGTCTTGATCCGAATTTCCAACAAACCTCTATAAATATCACATAATCTTAAGATTAACATTGCGTTCTCAGCACATTATTTGAATATAATTCGAGGTGTAACTACCTGTGGTTCAGCAAGCGTTTCGGTGTACCGGAGCCCCAAGGTTCAAAGTCCCTATTGTCAGGGGCCCTACCCCATAAAAATGAAATAGTATAAAACAAAATCATCGGACCGACTAAATAAAAAATATATAAAAGATGATAACAGTCCTTATATAAAACTGTATGTTTACCAGTCAGTTGGATGAATACTACTGAATTTCGCGAAGAAATGTCCAGAGAAAACGTTTTTCAACAAAATGGTATAATATCACATAATCTAAAGGTCAACAATAAGTTCTAAACACATACAAGATACAAGAAACTTAATTTGTCTTCAAATATAAAAGCATTTTGGAATATACGGTATTTCATAAAACATGTATCAAGACAACTTGTAAAAAAAACAGAATGAACAAAATATAAAACATTATATACTGTACAAAAGAAAACAAAAAACAAATATTAATTTCACATTTTTTTTTTTTTTTTGTTAAATTTTAAATTTTAATTTTTCGTATATTATTCGTATATAACATACAGGTGATTACTCTCAATAAAAAAGAAAAAAAAATAATATATGTAAATATATTGGGAAAAATTGTAATGACACTTACAGTTACTTGACAATCTGAATTCCTGATTGGTTGAAACAGGTTACCATCGACACTGTAAAAAATCTCATAAGACGTCACCCATTGTAAGCAGCATTTGTTGCGGCCTTGTGTGATTACTCCGCGTACCTTATGCAGTTTGCCGAGGTCAACTTGAATCCACTGGTATTGGTCTTTGATTTTTGAACACCATGCTCCTGCACTTCCCGAACTATCTACTTCAGTGTTCAGTCGTCCACTATGTGCCCCGGTCCGTAAAGACCATTCACTGGATGCGGACAGTTGTTCCGCGGGAATAGTCCCATCTTCAATACCAAGAGGATCGGTACACAACTCTGAGATAGAATATTACAATTATAGTTATGGCACATTTGGTGACAATTTTCGATATTTTTTTTAAATTTTATACAGTATGAATTGAAAACAAATTGAAAGAAAATTTTATAAGCTAATATATGGTGTAATTTGAATTTTATACAAACTGTATATTATGATTCTTCACATGATACCATGTTTTCCGTTAACTGCTCCGCATATTAATCTAAATCTTTATATTGTTAAATTGATTATTAGTTTCCAATTTTATACAGGTCTTAGAGTTTCTGTGAGAACATTCCATTTTGGACGTTGGCGAACTTTGTTCCATTAATACTGTTGTTTATAAATTAAAAGTGAATCAAAGTCTTTGTATATTTTATTTGATTGTGATTATGAAAAATTAATAAATGTTAGGCTACTTTACTTGTAATTTACAATGACATATTGAAAACCACACCATTATTTTTGGCTCTATGTCTTTAAATACGGTTTGTTTTAAGCAAATAAACGCTACGTGTATATGTGGATAAAGGAAAACGATAAAAAAAAAATAGCTGATCTTTTTTTTTTTGTGTGGGGGGGGGGGTTGCCTCCAAAAATTCTTATATTAATTCATTAAAGTTATATAAGCTACAAAAATGTTTGTAATTATATTACATACAAGACTATGCTAATCATAAGTACACTAGGTTTTATAAACAATCGGCAGATACACGAGTGCTTTACAACGTAAACTCTTGCTTTTGTCGTATTATTTTACAAGGGCTCTAACACCTTATAGAATCAATCATTTAATTTATATAAATTATACGACGATTCGACATTTTATTGACTTTCGAAATATCTAAAAATTAGTTCGATTTGACTGTTGAATTGAATGTTCCGACCGGCTCGTCATTTTTTGTTGAAATGTTTAATCCCGATGGAATCTTTGGGAGTCCTATAGTTTTAACAGGACTCGAGCCATTGTTTTGCTAGTGTTCTGTCCGAATAATTGTAATTATCAGTTCTGATGGTTTACAAATTAGAAATATTTATCTTATAACTTCAAATTGTTTTCAACAACTTCACCGAGATCCTTTCTATATTGAATTTTTCTAAATTTCTTTCTGAAGCTTATATTCTTGTATAAAATAATTTCTTTACGTTGACGTTTTTCCAATATATAAAAATTCTTCTACCAATATACCGTTGAAATTATATTCAATTTTATTAATTCATATTGCATCACACAAACGATTTTCAAAAAACAAACGGGAATTATTTACAATACTACTCATAAACTCTTCTGAACTCTACAGGAACCTAAATCCGGCAAAACACAATTTATTTTTTGAAATAATGAGTGAACCTTAGAAGGCCAATTTTTAACATTTCGATTACAAAGTAAATTAGACCATTCGTAAATTTGAAAAGGGATTCTGCAATCATTTAATTTATTCAGGTTTAAAATAAATTCTGCTATACATTTAGTCTGATGAATAAAAGGCGTATCCCATCACAAGTCACCCAAAACAGCATTATTGGGAGAAAATTTACCAACTCCTAAAAAATAACATCGAAAAGTCCACTGATTAATCTCAGATAAGAAAGTATAATACATACTCCAAGTATTGAAATGCACGCCATCGTGTTGGGATTCAATATTTAGACATAAATTATGTCATCATCAGGAATGAGTGAACCATTTGTAAATTTGAAGAGGGATTCAAAATGGTTTAAAGAGGGAACCAATGGTTATGTCCTGATGATGACATAGTTAATGTCGAAATATTGAATCCCAACACGATGGCGTGCATTTCAATACTTGGATTATGTATTATACTTTCTAAAATATAACAACCTGCACGATAAAACACAGAGTTAATTAAAGAAAACTCCACTATCCCCCCCACCCCTAAATATAACTACCGTATTCAAGAATACGATACACACATGCATCAAAGAGTTTAGTAAAATATTATAATTAATGCCACCAACCAATTTACACAATCAAACCAAGGACACGTGATGCAGATGTACTAATAAACTTTGATGAATTTTGTTAAAATCCAAAAATTCATAAAAACATATTTCAAATATTTATATATAGTCCCCGACAACCTCAATATTTTTTCCATTACAAGAAAATTGGACTGCCGTTTTGTTAAACGATTTTGGACGATAATGAACGACTTTGGTATTAGAAACATTAAGTGCACTACCCCATCTGTTAAAACCAGTTAGAAATAATATTAAGTTTAAGTTTGTATGTATATATGTATGATATATGTATATGTATATGTGTATATATATATATATATATATATATATATACATATATACATACATACATAATTAACTTAACTTAAACCAGTAAGAAATAATATCAAGTTTAAGTTTGTATGTATA